TGTTCATCAATGGCCCCCATTATTGTCATTTTAAAGGGGCTTGATCCTAGGACCTTGTTCCCTAGGTACAACTATAAATAGTGACTTCAACAACTATTGTAAGACACGAAATTTCTGAAAAACTTATGCTACACATTATTTCAAGCTAAATAATACTTTATTTTCTGCCTAACTGTATTCATATTGCTGTCTTCGGAAGCCTTGCTACCAGAACCAAGCTCCCTGTCATTTTATCTCGATTTCAATGCTAAGACTTGAATTTTATTTAATTTATTTATCATTCGAGATCAAATCAATTCGCTTGTCTATAAACAACGCTATAAATTCAATTGTACCGTTTTACAGGTAAACAAATACATAACAACTATCCAAACAAGCTGTAAACTCACGTAATTGTTCAAGGTAAAAACTTATTTCACAAGGAAAATAATAATCTTATATTTACTGCTTCCTTCGTCTCATATTAACTCGTGGTTACTAAAAGTGGTTGTCTCAAATTATTTATCATTTTAGAAGTTCAAGGCAAAATTGATTATTTCTTTCCTTTTTTACCCTTAGTAATAATTGTTCTTAAAGTTGGAGATAAAACATAAATAGAATAAATATTCAATTAAGAGATATTATATCTTAAGATATAAATAAGGGTAGAATAGTCTAGTCCCTTTCCTAATTAATATTTCTTAAGGGGCGTGTAAAAGAGAAACACGACACATAGTGGGCGTTTGGACATAAGAATTGTAAAATTTCGAAAAAAGGTGAATTGTTTTTTCAAGTGAAAATAGTATTTGAAAATTGGAATCCTGTTTGGGCATGAATATAATGTTGAGTTGTTTTTGAATTTTTGTGACTGATCTGAGTAAAAATTTTAAGAAACAGATTTTTGAAATTTATCAAATTTTTTAAAGTTCTATCTTCAAGCGAACTCATAGTATGAGATATAGGGGAGGTAAAAGAGGAATAAACCTAGATAGTCCCTTATGTATGGGTATAGGAGTATTTTAGTCCCTTATTTATATTACTAAACATAAAATATCCTTTAACTTTGTAAAAGTGGAAAGGTTTGGTCTAACCATTAACTGGGTTCCTAAAACTAACGGGAAAGCCTCAACTTAGGTTAAAGGACTGTAACTTTTGTAACCCAGTTATATTCTATTCTCCTTCTTCCCTCGAATTAGTCCCATCGTCCCATTTGCTCATCCACTCTCCCACTCCGCTGACTTCCTTTCCCCACAAATGATGACTACAAGGATTCACTAGAAAAAAGAAATGGAAACTAAGGATCTAAGTCAATATGAGATGAGCTAGTACCATGTTTTGGACGACAAAGAAGAACATTAAAAAATTAGAGTAAAAGAGAAGAATGGACCTTCAGATGAGCTGAAAATATTCTTTTAGATTTGATTAACAATAACCTTCCAGTCTAATACTGTTACGACCCAAAATCCACTAAGGGTCGTGATGGCGTCGGACACCACTGTCAGGCAAGCCAACCAAAAATACTTAATTAAATTCTCGTTTTAATACTTTTGAAATCTAGGATTTTCCTCCAAATTTATCAATTGAAAAGATAATCGTCTCAATTCAAATGTAAATGACAAACAGTTAGTACAAAATACTTCTTAACCACCCCAGAACCCGGTGTCACAAGTACATGAGCATTTTTTAAGAATTTGAATAAAATACAACAACTGTCCGAAACACAAATGGACAGAAAACAGATACAACTCTGAGAGAGACTATACTAGCTGCGGGTCGCCTCGGGGAAATACAGCTCACCTAGTCTCTGCCTCACCCATACTGCAACGCCCAGTAGGCCACTAGAAGTACCTGCACCTATGCAACAAAAATGCACAACAAGAGTAGCATGAGTACGAAAACAACGTATACTCAGTAAGTATCCCGCCTAAACTCGAAGAAGTAGAGACGAGATGGCAACTTCGACACTTACTAATGGTCAAATGATAATGTTATTAAGGCGGTGGCTCACGAATTTATTAAGGACAACAGTAGATTCAAAAGAATTACTAAACAAGTAAAAGTTCCTCTTTATTTAAAAGTTTCCGGATTCATAATCCATTAATTAACAATTATTTCAAGTTGGGAGAGCAGATAGCATTGTCAATAAATCTCAAGGCAAGCAATACAAGCATGAGCAACTCATGCCGAGGTCGTACGGCCCGATCCAACATAAATGTAAAATATGCACTGCCGAGGGGCGAGCGGCTCGAATCATAGATGCATCTATTACCCCACTCGCGAATCATCCATGCGACGCGGTCAAATTTAAATAAACAATCACCCTGCTCGCGTATCATACATGCGACGCAGGAACACACAGAAACACATGCTCAAGCAGCAAATTAAGAGTTTATCGGGGAACATTTATCCAAATAAAACCAAATTCTCTTTTAATGATTTAAGAAATAAAGTTTAATCCTCTTAGAAATTCATTTACCAATCCGATAGGATTTCAGCAATTCATACTGTCAATAACATTACAAGTATTTCAAGTACAACATGCTTTTGGGTCCTGGACTACCCGGACAATAACATAATAGTAGCTACGCAAGGACTCTCGTCACCTCGTGCGTACGTAGCCCCCCACAAATAGGAGCACATAACCAATTAATTCACCTATGGGGACAATTCCCTCTTACAAAGTTAGAAAGGAGACTCACCTCGCTCCGAAGGTCCATAACCGGCATTCCACGCCCTTCCAAAGACTTGAATCGATGCTAAATACTCCCAAAACTAGCCAATGGTTATGCACATTCATTAATATATGATAAACTACTCATATTAATCCAATTTATAACAATTCCTAACCCCGATCGGAAAGTTAACGAAAACGCCCTCAGGCCCACGTGCCCGGATTCCCAAAATTTTTGAAGAATAAGTTCACCCATAGCCTCACGAAATCAAATATATAATTTTCTCTAGATTCCATACCCAAAATCGTGGTCAAATTCCAAGAATATAAATTTCTAGGTCTTTCTACCAAAACCCCAAATTTCTACCAATTTACATGCTAACATTCATACATAATCGATGTATTTAACTCAAGATGGATGGGATTAGCTTACCTTATCGTTGATGATGAAAAATCCCACTTGAAGCTCTCCCAAAAATCGCCTAAGCCATGAAAATATGAGAGAAAATAGCCAAATCCCGATTTTTAAAACACATCTCTGCCTCCAGCACTTTCCGCACATGCGGTCCCTTTAACGCTTCTACGGTTCCACAGGTGCGAGCCAATCCACCGCTTCTGCGGTTTTCCCCAGGCTCCCCTTTTCCGCTTCTGCGCCTCCATTCCCGCAGATGCGGTCCCGCTTCTGCGGCCAAACGACCGTATCTGCGGTCCCAGCTCTCTTTTGCCAAATCCGCATCTGCGACTATTGGGCCGCTTCTGCGGCTCCGCACCTGCGGCCCTATTCTCGCAGGTGCGGTTACACCAGCAACCAGCAACTTCAGCCTTCCAAAAATTCCATTTTTGATCCGTTAACCACCCGGAATCCACCCGAGGCTCCCGGGACCCCAACCAATCATACCAACCAGTCCCAAAACACGTTACGGACTTGCTCGAGGCCTCAAATCATATCAAACAATGCTAAATCCACGAATCGACCTCCAATTCAAGCTTTATGAACTTTAGAATTTCAAACTTCTACTTTTGATGTTTAAACCAATCAAATCACGTCCGATTGACTCCAAATTTTTCACCCAAGTCATATTCGGCATTACGAGCCTACTCCAACTTCCGGAATCGGATTCCGACCTCGATATCAAAAAGTCCACTTCCGGTCAAACTTCTCAAAACCTTCAAATTTCTATCTTTAGCCAAATGACTCCAAAATGACCCACGGACCTCCGAATTCACTTCCGATCGCGCTCCTAACTCTAGAATCACCGTACGGAGCTATTCCCTGACTCGGAATCTCAAACGAACGTCGACAACATTGAAATGCACTTCAACCCAAACTTATAAAATTTCTTCCAAAGTGCTAACTTCCACAATAGGCGCCAAAACACTCCTGAGTCATCCAAAACCCGACCCGGTCATACGCCCAAGTCCGAAATCATCATATGAACCTGCTGGAACCTTCGAATCCTGATTCCGAGGTCGTTTACTCAAAAATCCGATCTTAGATAATTCTTTCAACTTAATGCTTCTAATATGAGAATTTCCTCTCCAAGTCAACTCCGAACTTCCCGAAATTTGATTCCGACCACGCGTACAAGTCATAATACCTGAATTGAAGCTGCTCATGGCCTCGAACTGCTGAACAGCGCGCTAGGGCTCAAAACGACCGGTCGGTCGTTACAAATACTATCACATCAGTCCAAAAGGTAATTCGAAAAAATTGAATCGGAAGATCAACGAGCTACTTTGAATAGAGAGTGAAACTGAAACCTCTATTCCAGCCGTGCTGTTCTCTGCTGGAATTGAGACAGAGAAGCTTTTAATTTCTGTATGAGTGGTGGAATTTGTTCTCAGATGGCTTTTTCTGTGTTGAAAAATGGTTGTGAAATGACGATTCTTCAGCAGCGTCAATGGAAGAAGGGACAATTGAAACAGTGGTGGAAAAATGATAGTTATGGTCTTATGGAGTGAACTGGGAATAGTTGCCGTTAGTTTTTGTCTTTTTCCGTTAGCTTTGGGAACCCAGTTAATGGGTAGACCAAACTTGTCCATTTTTACAAAAATAAGGGATATTTTATATTAAGTAATATAATTAAGGGACCTATACCCATACATAAGGGACTATCTACATTTATTCCTCAATACAGGGAGTAATAGTGATATTTTACTAACTTTTGCAGCAGACGACCAGTCAAATAAATGTACTCAACGATCTATCGCAAGACTAGTTACGAAGCTTCTGGAAGTTAAGTAGGTAAGGCCAAAGCTAAGAACTCCCTTTAATCAGAACCCAAAAAACTCACTTCTCCTGATAATCTGATCGTCCGGCAACAACAATTTCGATCGAAGTACAGAAACCATGGGTTGGATGACACGGTTCTTAGCTGCTGTAGCGTTCTTGGCAATTGGAGTACTCTTTTCTCCAGAAACTTTCGGGTCAAAATCAGAGGGTCAACATCCTCCAAAGCTCGTAACTTTGCTGAAATTGGCTCATCTTCTCTGCTTTTCCACTGCCTTTGGCGCTGCTCTTTGGGTCACTTTCATTGGTGGTATCATCATGTTCAAGTATCCCCCTTAGCTTCTTTCTGTATTTACCTTTTTCTTCCTTTTTCCCGTATCAATCAACTATATCTCAATCCCAAATTAGTTGCCATTAGCTATATAATTCTTTTGTATCAACACGTCCATTACAAGTAGTATTACTTCTATATTTCNTGGCACTAATTGCAAAAGTATCACTTATTTGTTTGACCAACCCAAAGAAGAAGAAACTACCCATTGCAGAGCTATCCTTGCCAGGACCATCAGTCTTGTGATAGTACCATCAACATCTACTTATCAGAGATAATAACTAGATATATAAAGAAGTAAATAAATTGAGTAAGGGAAAAGTGAACAAGAATTTCTTTTCCTCTGTAATAAATTAGTGTGCGCTTCACCTCTCACTTTTGCGTCAAAGCCTCACCGGTGTACAATACTCCCTTTGATTCAGTTAGATGTTTCCTTTTTTATCTGTTAAAAAAGAATGTCACAATATTTTGGAAGTTCTTAATTCCAACATTCGATTTTACCCAATGACACTCCTTATATTACCCTTTGTGGTACGTTATACACATTTAGTTTAAGACCACAAATTCAAAAGTCTTTTTTACATTGTTAAGTTTCGTGGTCCGTCAAACTAAGACACATAAATTATAACAGAGGGACAAGAATGGAAACTAGTGTTATCAGTATTCTCGTTTTGTGTCATGTTTCTTCGAGTTGGATAAGAGGGTGATTTCCAATGTCTCATTTTCCGTGGGCCAAAAGTTGTAGGCCTTTGGTGAAGGAAAAATCCACATTATGTGATACATTTGTGATCTACAAGGCATGGAACATGCAATGCTAGCCCAAGCATTTATCCTACTCTTCCTGTTTCAACAAGTACATTAAGCTAAAAATACTTACAAAGCAAGTAATGATTGGTAGAAACAAATTTCTACCTTGTAGGAGCATCAAGCCCAAATAATTGAGTTTCTTAGGGCCTTGATTTTGGTAGTTGGACTTTGTCTAAATGAGCTGATGATAATAAGCAGTAAGTTATTTGCTCTGCATTGATGATTTGACTATTTAATGCTGTGATCGACTTATAATGGGTGGACGTAATTGAATAATACTGTGGCTTCATTTATTAGCTGCTTTATTGCAAAAAGTTGGTAGGCTGCTGCTGACAAATATGTTTAGCCTTGATACTGAGATACGTCTCGAATCTTAGCACTGCTCTGCATTGAGAGATACTGTTTCTGATGCAGAACATCTCACGTTTGTTAAAATTAGAACTTTGAAAACAGTCCCAAAAAGGTCTTTTGATGTGTTTTTTCATTGGCATTCTGATGTTAATAATGCATTTGATGTATGGTAGATGATGAAAGAAAGGCATAAGATAGAGAGAGAGGCCAACATCGGGGAGGAAGTCGGATGGACCAAGAACCAGGAAGTTGCAAAGGCTAATCCGAAGCTTGCAGCAATGAACAAGAAATTTGGGATGATTCATGGACTATCTTCCCTTGCTAACATTTTCTCCTTCGGTTGCCTTGCCATGCATTCCTGGTATTTGGCCGGAAAACTGAATCTGTAGTGTTTAAGTATGCCTGCTGTTAGAGACACCAAAATTTCTTAAAGATTTATATGCCAGCTATTTTGAACCATTACTCCAATGGCTTCTGTATTGTGTTACATGTAACTTGACCCCAAAGTGGGAATAAAGATATACAGGTTATAAGCTTGAAATCTTCATCCAGAAAGTTTGTATGTGAAGTTACCACAAACTGATTTGCATTTCAAGTAAATGTAAATGTATCAGGAGTGGCTTTATAAGCTTTTGCCAAAAGTAGCTCAAATTCTGTCTGCTTTGGCATAAAAAATTTTGCTGAATGAAGTGTCCAGAAAAAAGAATTCTAAAGGACAAGTTATTCATAATTGTAGGAAGGAAACAAGTTCAAATGGAACCAAATAGATATAAAAGGTTTTTACAATTATGAAACTGAGATCTAGTTGATTGATGAGCATTTTCGTTGTGCCTCTTAATGTAGCCGTAGAAGTACTAAGTTGCTGCGTGCAAGATTGATCTTGATCTTGACCCAATATTGAGGTGCTCACGTACTGTGAGAATTGAGATTGAAGTTTCAGCCTCTTGAAACTGTACTAAGATTGTGCACGTTGGTGTACATAAATTGTTGTAAGTTTTCTGGTAATTCTTCCAACCTTCCTGGCTTGGTGGTGTATCCATAATAAACACAATGATGTGATCGATGCATGTGGTTGGATGTCGGCATTGTGATTGACCTAAACCAAGACTTTTAAACCTCAGCTTAGGTGTGTTATTAAAATTCAAAAAACATGGGTAATGTTACATGATGTCGATGTTCCTTGCAGACTTTATACTTGCGAGATTTTTGCGCAAAAAGAAAAAAAGATTGCGATATGTAAAATTGAAGCGTTTCCGTGACGTCTGAATATTAACGTTTCTATTATAAGTTGAATTCTATTTAAGGTGAATGTTTATATTTTAGAGAGATTTTACTTGGTGACTAAGTCACTCTTTCCCTATAAATAGAGGGATCCCATTCCATTGTAATTCTTCCAAAAATCAATAAGAACTCTCTCTCCCTACTTTCTTTGCAATACTGTTCTTCTTCTCTTATTGTTCTAACACGTTATCAGCACGAGACTCTAACCAATTGGGTAGAAGCTTTGGGATTGAGAATAATGATTGTCAATTGTTCCATGAACTTCCTTCATGATTTAATTCTGGATTTAAGGTATGTATTTTATCGTATTTTTCTCTTTTATTCTATAATTTGATATTAAATACAAGCAAAAATAATAAATTTTGATTATACCTCTAATAGAGTTTGTAAGAAATTATAACCACGTGAAGTGGTAATTTTCTATGTTTTGCCATGATCAATGTCATGTATGATCGTGAGCACAAGAAGGGAAAATCCGTCCCATTAAATTTGCTTCATTCTCATTCCCTTAGAGAATATGATAACAATATGTGATAAATCTGAAATAAGACAAAATTATTACCGTGAAGGTATCAATGGATGTGGACGTGACAATAGACAAAATATAACCGTCATAATTGTGATAGTGAGAATAATAAGGATTCTCAAAATAATCCTTCACTCTGTGGAAGTAATATTTGTCATCGATTTGACATGAGATTTTATAAAGCATATATAGATGATTATGGTCCATTCATGATGTGAATGTGACAACATCTGATTTGTGAATACATATTCATTCTTGGAAGAATATGAACGTGCTAGTGGTAGTGAATATACCACACTTACCTCTAGAAGGAGGTTTGAGATGATATAAGAAAATAATGTCATTATTATGGCATGAATGGTTATTGGTCACGTAACTATTGCACGTAAAAATATTTGGTAATGTGATTATTAAAGAATAACATTAATGCAAGAAACATATCTTGCATATAATTTTTACCATAATCATAATGGTATAACTTTCTCTTCGAAAGAGATATTCACCTTATGGATGTAGATGAATATGTGGTAGTACCAAATTAATTGAGAGCTCTAGAAGAGCCAATTATTACTAATTTGGAGGAATAAAATTGATTATCAATAAGGCATTGTGTTGTAGTAAGTCTCAAAGAAACTTAATCTAAAGTATTTGCGAAAGCGGTTGGTCATACTGAGACTAAAAATAAAGGAAAAATTTAATATCTTCAATTACTAGAACTTGTAGCGGGGTAATATGTATGTGAAAAGCTACCCGCTTTATTCTTCTGTTTGTATTACACAAACAAAAGAATGCCACAATAAAGTAGAAGTTTATTGATATAAAAACCAATATCATAATAAACTTGGAGTTTATTGATGATTGCACACCTCATGGTGTAAACCTGAACTTTATCAATATTGATAATTTATTCAGTTGGCATAATTGGTTTAGCCATGTTAATTTAACTATGATGTGCAAAAATAAAAGAGAATCCACATGGGTAAATATTAAAGAACTACAAAGTTCTCTACAAATTCTTACTTCACTTGTTCTCATTAATTAATAGACCAACTAAAATTGGGATCGAATCCCATGAATCCTGAAAATATCAAAAGTGAATATGGGCTCATTTACCTGCCATGTATACCACATAAGATGCATCTATGAGATAGTTACATGTGCGGTTATTACTAACCTGCAACCTGGTGTTTGCGGGGTAACTTGCTCAATAATTTAATTTAGAGCATAATTTTCAGATTTTCTATTCAAGAAGTTCATCTTGATAAGTTGGTCTACATCACAGTTGTTTAAGCAAAATAATTTATTGAGTGCCTCCACTTAATAGCTAACTATTGCTTATGAGAACAAAGTTATATATATCAGTTTGATATACATTATATACGAAAGTATATTATTTTCTCCCTTCACAAGTGGTTCAGGGTCAGGAACCAAATAATTTCATCTTATTATTATTGATGTGCGGTGTATATTTTGATTAACACTATAACTCACAAAGGTGAGTTTCCAAAATTGAGGAAGAAAGTTAGTTTTTCTAACATGAGGGGGGTACATGATAAACAATTGAGAAAAAGTTACGCGGAATGAATTATCATTTGTACATCTAGATCCTCGAATAAGATAATATGAACTTGAGGTTCATAAAAAAGATAATTCATTTGCAATATATTGCAAAGCATGCCAGACACATTTGCTGACCCGAAGAAAGTAACTATATTCTCATTGCAAATGCTCCTATTAAGTCCTAGAAGGACAAAGTCTATGTACGCTTAAAGTATATTGACAAATCGGTTTCAAATAAACTTCTTGATAAAGAAGATGAGCAAATGATCAAAATGATCATAATAAGGAGGCAAGTGATCTAGAAGATCACATGACATAACACTTCATAAAATCTCATGAGAGATTCAGGTACTTGAATATATGAATGAAGAGATCTCTATGTTATGTCTTTATAAAAAATAAGGAGGTTGGAACCGATATAAAATGTTTGTCGATGATATCTGTAATAGCGCTAAATATATATGAGGATCTTAAGTCTGGAGAAACAATTTCGAATAGAATTAGCTTCATATGAAAGACATGTAGTTTTGAACATGTAGTCCAAATACTTGAACGTATAAAGTCAATGGTATGTGTAATCAGTTTTCGATATCTTATTTGTCTAGCATGACATGAAAACTTGATATGCATCTAATTAAAGTCTGTTATATGACTTATATGACAATCCTTGAAGGATTTAAATCGCTAAAGCATATACAGTTCTTGGTCCTGAAGTACCATATCCTAAATGCAATTTGTGCACATATGTATCTTGTTATAACTATAAGCATGATAATATGATAGCAAGAGTTTTCATCCCTATGTGAAGATATTGAAATGATGATTCCAACAAGATCATATGAAGACAATACATCTATCAGGGATGATGATTTCAAGGTGAAACAAATTCGTTGAAGTTAATATGGCTGGTTTGTTTATCAAATGTCTACCAAAGATCTTTTGAAGATGGTGCACAAGATTGGAATGCAAATGCTTAAAGATGTGAATTGATAGTCTCATCAGGGGGAGTTAATACGCGTTGTACTCTTTTTTCCCTTACAAAGTTTTGTACCACTGGGTTTTCCTTGCCGGGTTTTTAAGGAGGCAACCAAAAGGCGTATTGTTAGATATGTGTACTCTTTTTCCTTCTCTAGAATTTTTTTCCACTGGGTTTTATTTAGCTAAGGTTTTAACGAGGCACATTATTTGTTGAATAGACATTCAAGGGGGAGTGTTATAAATAGAATTCTATTTAAGGTAAATGTTTATATTTTGGAGAGATTTTAGAAATTTTACTTGGTGGCTAAGTCACTCTTTCCTTGTAAATAGAGGGATCCTCTTCCATTATAATTCATCCCAAAATCAATAAGAATTCTCTCTCCCTATTTTTCTTTGTAATACTGTTCTTCTTCTCCTCTTATCGTAGTATAACAGTTCCACAGTTATAAGTTTAATTTTATACTCCCCCAAGTTTTGAACCGATTATTATATTGTCTTATTTAAATTGTTCTCGCAATGTTGTGTAATTTCTTTAAATTAAATATTTTGCCATATTTCTTAAGTAGTGTAGAAAGTTACTACACAGAGAAATCACTCTTACTTTTCCTGACACTTTATCTTCGCTTTGCTTTTCAATACAAAGGTCAAAATATGGTCTCATAGCTTTAAGTTGTTTTAAGTTATGTTTTTTTGACAAGAAGTAAAAAGCGAGGGGACATTGTTTTTTTTTTTGAATTTACTCCCGTAGCAAAGATTGATACCTTATTTATTTTAAATAAATATTCTTTTAAAAAATTATATTCCATAGCCACCTTTTGATTTTCATAGCCAAATATCTATTTATGGTCACCTCCTACCCTTAAGCCATAAAATACGGATTTATTTTTCTATCTCATTCTTTCAGATTTTTCTCCACCCTCTCTATCTCTCTCAACGCCAGTCTTTCTCTATGAATACAACCATAGTTGATTTATCCAAGGTTTTATTGATTTCTCCCAGTAAAGATCCTCAATGGAATACGGCGGCACCGGAGGCGGTTTTACC